AGAAACTTTAGAAAACAAAACTTCAAAACCACGCCCACACAGCCCGGAAGCCCCACACCAGCCTTCGTATGCCGGCCGTGAAAGCCTTCGACAATACACAAAAAATAGTGTTGAGTTTTGGAAGCCTGTATTGTCGACACTCAACATTTCTTTTTCATTCAGATTATTTTTTCAAACAAAATGAGAAAAACTTTATCTTTAGTCCTAGATTGTTGTGGAAGAGAGATAAAGAAATGGAAAATTAATCCAGAAAATGAAGAGGCAGTAATGGCAAGAGATTTAAGTGACTGACCATTCCAGAAGGAATTTTACTTTATTGAAATATAGCTGATAGAAAGGGACTTCTAAGGGCAAATTTGACTCCCACAAATCTGTCTAAAGATTAAGATATTCCTCAAAGGCTCTTCCATTGACCTCTTTCCTTTTGGAAGTGAAAGGAGTACTAACTAAAAACATGGCCTTCTCTTCCTGTGATACCTTGTTGTTGAAATGTTTTATTTTGATGCCAAAAAACAGGTTTTGTAGGCCTACTAAGCTTCTCAGATATTTCGTTTTTTAGCTTGTTGTTCCAATGCTGTTCTGTTAGTTTTAATTTTGCATTCTTTAAACTGAAGAATGAGATATTAAGTAATTGTCATATATAAATAATATAAGGGACTGCTTCTCAGTCCAGTTGGACCTTGCACATCTCAGTTTTTTACTATAAGAGGGGTTTTGTTTTTAGCAACATAATCTTTTGATATGAAGTGTCCCTTCCTAACTAAATGTGGTCTGGCAACTGTTGTCTCTGTTTTTATAGACATCTGAATCTGCTTGTTTTGTTTGGGGCTGCTGTTGCAAACTATCTTGAAACTGCAGCTGATGCCAAATTCCTAAGTAGGCCTGTTCAAGGTGCTGTTTCTTTTTTAATATCTGCAGCTTAGCTGCCTAAGCCTCTCTCTTTTTTTAATCAATCTCCCTACAACTCTAGATCTTCCGAGAACTTTGTATCTGGAAAGCCGGATCTATCTAGACGTAGCCCATGACATCTTAATGGTAATTGCATTTGTTTCAGAACTCTCTCCCAAGGGAAGTTGCTGATAAGCAGCAAGACAGCAAATATGGAGGCTGATGGAGAAAATTACTGTCTCCCAATTAATTTTTACATTTCGAAAATCAGTTTTGGAAGTCCCCAAACTAGAAGTCAGAATATGTACAGTTAGTCTTCTGACATAGCTGATTATTAATTTTCTAGAGAATAAACTGCTGCTGAGTGTTTAAAATCTGTAACTGAAGGCTAGAAATGTACTAGTTGTTGGTACTAGCTGGAAGCTGATAACAGAATGTGTTGGTGAAGCCAGGCTTGGGTAGAAACAGAAAGAAAATATCAAATTGTACCTCAGTGTTCCTTTATAAAAACTTTTTTCCTCCCCTTTAGAGAAGCCTCCTCAATTTTCTCACAATTTGGTTTCTTGGACAAAAGCTCTTTGGTGGACTTAAATCTTTTAAAGATGATAGCCTGTTGCAGTTAAAATAATTAAGTATCTTGAAGGCTAACAAATGCATTGTAACATATGCTTTTGTGGGTCAGAGGTCCCTCTATTTATATATTTAGAAAATGTATATGCTGCCAACTACATTGATGGCTTTGGATAACTCACAGGATGTAGTAATAACATACTAACAACATTCATTACAAATAAAACATAAAATCAGCTTTAAAAGATAAATATGTATTCATACCTGCAGAACTGTAGTATAAATATGTATAACCCTAAGAATAGGAATAAGAAAAAAAAAATCCATGTTTAAGATCAGATCAAGCCAATCAGTGCATATTTGACCGCTCCCAAATACAGCTCTTTCTTAGTGAAAATTTATTTAATATCAGGTGTGTACCCAAGTTCATTTGTTAGTACATGCCAAAGGAGAGAATCTTGAAGGAATCTTGCAGACTATCCAGAGTGTTTGGAATGTCACTCTACAGGTTTCTGGAGTTACCCTTTTAATGCCTTATTTTTTTTCTCACATAGAAATTCACCAATTCAGCCAGGTAAGCAGCAGGAGTGTTAGCAGATGAGATATGTCTTGCTTTTGAATATGCACATAGGTAAAACATTAATATTGCTGTCCATTGTGACTGTGTAATTTGTATTTGTAAACTTTATTGTCATTGCACCTCGTACAACGAAATTAAATGCCATTCCCAGTGCACCTTATAAATATAAAAATCATAAAATAAAAAAACACACATCCTTCACATTCTATTCACCATTGCACAATCCCTGATGTTACATTAAAATTGCACTATACAGTAGAGTTCAATATAGTTGCAGCTCTGGGGTAAAAGCTATTCTTTTAATAAACTGATCCGGTTAATTTTTAAAAATCTCTGTATTATTCATGCACCCCACTAATCTGCCCAGTGCTTCCTAATGATTAAACTCAGATTTCCACAAAATACCAGTCTGTTCCAAAATTATACTCTGCTTGGGCTATGCATGCTTGAAAAGTTATTTGGAAGAAGCATTTCAGCCCTCACCCAAGCCCGACAGCTCTGCTATTTGTTAGAGCACCCCAAGCCAGGAAAAAATAGATGCCGCTGTTTTAAAGATTAATTTAATATTAAGAAATATTAATAAATGTGGTGCAGCTCTTAGAGCAGCTGAAACTTTTTCCTTTACACTGTCTACACAACTGTAATAATAATATCAACATGAATTCACATAGAATTCCTTGATAATTGACTTTGTTAAAAAGGTATTTATGCATCTGTTCCATTCTAACACTGTTGAAAGTATGCAAAGTGATTCTGACACAAGTGAAAGTATACAAATGTTGATATTTTTTTTCCTATATGGTACAATGACCAATTCTGTGAGTCAAATTTCAGCAGTTGTGCAACAGCAGTAGAGCTCTGTTCCTGAAGGCGAAGATTTCACCATCTGAGAAAAAAGTACTACAGTAATAACGATTGGTAACTGAAGTATTCCTTCAAGTATTCCTTCACATCTAGTTGATGATCTGAAAATGTCGGGCCCTATAGCCTGAGACTGGGCAATTCTTGAAAAGATTTCCTAAATTCTACTATATCTTGTTCATAGAAGTAGTTTCTTCATTTTTTGTAGGATAATACATACATTTCAAACTAGCAAGGAATATATAAATTACTTTATCCTGCATAAATGAGCATGGGTGCTTAAGTAGTAGTTGCTATTTTTCATGTAACAATTTAAGTTCTCGGTGCTGAGCTTCTAAGGAATAAGAATACAAGTGAACATGCAGAAACTGATCTGTTAACACACTCTTCCTCCAGCACAACTTTGCCGGCCCAGCAAAAAGCTTTCATCTCCCCACCTTGCATTCCCCTGCCCCGGTGTGTCCTTTCCACACACTTTCCTCTGGCAAGCTGCATTACAACACTTACGTTGAACTCTTTATACAACTGTAAGTTGAACAGATCAGTCTTCTGCTGTGATTCTGTAGAAGTTTGAGAAGAGCTTTTCTCCAATGGTGTTGATGAACTTTCTCTTTTCTCTGTCCTTTGCGTTCTTCTGTCACTGTCCTTTCATGTCAGCGGCCGTTGCGTTGCATTTTTGATTCTCGACGCCTATCTCCCTTCTCAGTCTGTTTCTCTTATTCCTGTTACTGACAGCCAGCTGCTTTCTCTGCCTGCCTGCGTGTGCGTGCGTGCATGCATGCGTGCTCGCGCTCTCTTTTTGTTGTTAGTCGTCCTGGAGATGTAAAGTTTCATATTACATGCTCACCAAGAAGGGAGAAAGCACAACTGGAGTCTTGCTATTACCACAGGGTTCCCTGAATCAACAGTTGTTGCAACTCTTCGTGTAACTCTTGACTGCATCTGAGAAATTTCTTCTCAATTGCTTCAGCTCTTTTCTCACACCGCCTGGACAACTCTTGAGTTCTTTTCAACATGGCTGGAGGCTGCTAATTTTACGATTGGTTTTAGAAAAAGAGTGACTTGCCCTTAGCAAAACCAACAGAAATGGGAGAGATAACTGAAAGGCTCTTCTTCAATAGCAGGATACATAAAGATGTTTGCAGGCTTATTTTTTCCTCCAAGATACCCCATGAAAAAGAATCAAAAGACCCAGTTTGTGCAACGGCTGTGCCCCCTCCCCCCCAGGAATGAGGAAATAACTCCATACTTCACAAGAAGAATGGTTTTGAGAAGAAATGTCACACATGGAAGATATCAGCAGGAGGCATGTGCCCCTCCAGGGCAGTTTGGGGAATTGTTAGGGAGGGAAATAGACGTTCTGATACCCTGCTGTTCCTTGCACAGGAGAGAGTGGCTTCTCTGACTCCCATTTTTTCCCTTTCCCCCCCCCCCCCGGCATCTGAACCTAATTTTGCAGGGAGTTTGCTCCTCTAAGGTCATGAATAAAATGTTCCAGAAAAAGCTGCTCTGGCTATTCTAAGAAAGAACATTCGCGCCTTCTAGCCAAGTAACCAGCTGGCAACTCTGGCAGCTCGGCAGTTGTCATAATTCTGCCAGAGATTGACCTTTTGACTTGAAAATGTAACTCCACTGCCTCCACCACTAATTAAAAACGTTGCCTGTATTTTTATTAGCTGGTATCGTGTTAAAGATTAGAATATGGGTTTAGCGGTACATACTGAGTTTTTCCTCTGTTACCTTGGAAGCCCTGCAGGAGTGCTAATAACTAAAAACCAAAGTCCTCCTGGCATGACCGAATTATATTTTGTCCTTCTCCTTTTCTGGAGAGAAAAAAATGGGGTTGCCAACGACCCTTGGCATTTCCAGCTGGGTAACGCTAGCAATTGCTAGAAGGGCGTGGAGAAAAAGTTCAACCGGATAATCTTTCATTGGTTGTGAAAAGAGGCTTTCTTTAAGCCCAAAAGCAGAGTGAGTCAGTGCCACTTTGCAGAAATTATAAGGATAGCTTTGTAGCATTTTTTTTTCTCTTCCCCATCCTAACTTTTTATATTCAGTGACTTGGAGCCAACAGCCAAGTCTCTGGCACAGATACAGCTCTCTCAACCTAATGGGTCCTATGTCTTCCTGTGTTAGCACAAACAGGTGTTTGTTTTATCTGTACATATGCTTAAACATTCATGACTCTTGGAAAGTTTCTGTTTATTCCTTCCCCCATAAAATTCAACGGGCACTTGCTGAAGCCATTTTTCCTTACTCCGAGTAATTTGAAAACCAAAACATCTTCCCTTTGAAGGCAGGCTTGTGCTAGAAAGACATGAACCATGCCAGCAGAGTATTTTTGTGGCATAATGCCACAAAAATACTCTGCTG